TATTTTAGGTCTGTCAACAGATTTAAACAATTTTAGTTGGTTAATCATCCGCCAAGTAGCTGATAAATCACTTTATTAAGTACATACAATTGGCTGATTACCTAAACCTCAATTTTAAGTGTTCTTGAGATACCAGAGTATAAGGTAATGTACAATTCCACAAAGAAAAGCTACCAATGAGTGTTAGAAAAAAAAGCCATTGTTAATATTTTCTGTTTTATTCCCCATTACAGTAACACATCATAACAAAACAGCTTCAAAAATAAAGAAGCATGTCTTTAACTTGCTGACAAAATTGGCTGTTATTAAATCAGCTAACATTTGCCATGGCTTATTATCTTGTGCATACAGGGCAGGAATGGATTGCTCCTAAATCCTTTTTTAATAGTTGGACACAACACTATGCCACTGTGGATTAAAAAAAATCTACTTCGGTGCCCCTGGTACCAATGGCAGGCTAGCTCCAGCATAAAACGTTGGGCAGCAGGACTCAACTAGGGCAAGAAGCAATACTGGGTGCAGCTGGGGATGTAAGAGGAGAAGTGGAAATTAGCAACTTCTACCTCTGGGATGAATCCACCCTTAAAGACAGCCCATGCATAAGAGGTGACATACTTTTAAATGCTTCTGTGAGAGTTAAAAGACTGCTTTCCACCTTCTCCAACAAACCCACAGCATATAGCCAAGGGCCGCGAATATCAAGATAAGTGGCACAAGGTTACAGCACTCAAAACTATAAGTGCACAGTAAGACTTAAGTGATGGCTTACTTTGCACAAAGGGAACATGTGGCCGAACCAACTGACTCTCAATAGCCACAGAGAACAAAACATAAAAGACTGGTCAATAACACTTGTCTCCTCAAAGCCCCCTTACAGGTATCCTGCCATCATCCCAGATCACCTACCTAGATTCTCTATCTCTTGCTTACAGCAAATTCCAGTGAGGCTGTGGAAATCCTGAATTGCTGAAACAGTGCTGGGATGAAGGAGGACCAACAAACTGAAGCTTCTCACCACAAATCCTAACCAGGCACACAGGTGCTATGGGTGTCCAGAAGTTCTGGCCCAAGAACTGAGGAGTCTCTTGTTCTGAGCAAAGCTGCACACCCCCAAAGGAACAGGTTCATAGGGAACAGGGAGCAGCAGTGGCCAGAGGAGCCTTCCACAAGCTTTGACTGGTCAGCTTGCTGCAGCCTTTCTTGCATGATAAAAGATATGACGACTGTGGTGCATGCCCTGTTAACATCTAGATCAGATGACCTTTGTCTGAGCGACTGTGCCCGTGCGGTTCAGGGAAAGTCGAAGCAATTGAACATATTTTACTCCACTGTACATTTTATGAAACCATCAGAGTAAAAATTATTCATCCCGTTATAA